CCCATTTTGTTGCAAAGCCATTGTATAAAACAAGCAATGGCTGGCATGACCCAAACAAGCGTCGTTGAAGCCACGCTGGATCTCCAGCAAGGTGATTCGGCCATCCTGAGGGACGCTTCTGAAACGAAGGGACCCTTAAGGAGTCTTACGGGTCGCTTGGTTTTGCATCGTTTTGTCAGACCACAAACTGGTGTGATTCCTTTGGTGTCTCCAACCTTTTGAGGTAGCTATGCAACGCTTGGCTGGTTTGGACTGCATGATTTCAAATCCCCTTCAAGCCTTCTCCCCAAGCTTTGGCCTCATTCCAGGTGTGAAAGTCCAATTTAATAAGCGCACCAAACAGGAAAAATGTTGAGCGGAAGATGGTGAGGAGGGTTTCAGTCAATTTCAGACACTCCAGTTTGCAGTCGTTCCAACCCCAAACACCTATTGCGTTTGCTCCGGCCCAGCCCCGCAATGAGTACCTCCAAAGCCATTGGTAGTGATGAGGGTTGAGTGCAATAGAGGTTCTAGCTTATGTTTGCTTTTCATGTGTCCACTCACCAACAGCAGGAAGGCACCCACCAGATCCCACCAGAAGTACCAAGAGAAGAAAAGACATCGGTCCATCGGTGATAACGGATTCCCTATGTTGGATGCCGCTGTGTTGGCTACATTATTCTACATCCAAAAAGAACCAGGCTATGCCCGACCCACTTTCATGACATTCTTCCTTGTGTGTCCTCCGTTATGTTGGTAATCCGTGTTTGGTTGGTATAGGGGCCAAGAGTTTGATAGCTGCCTTTTTGGGGGGTCAATCATGATATGATCCTGCATCCACTTCCTTCCCAGCTTCTGCTTCCGCCATGGTTCTGTCAACGATTTCTCTGAGGTGCGCGGAGGCCCTCAACCTTACCACTCGCTCACAGCAGGGCGCCCAACGTCTGCGCCGATTTGTTTCCGTTTTGTGTATGCATGTGTTTGTGCATGTGTTTCAAAACGATCATATTTATTAGTTGGTGAGGCCGTTTATCTCTCAAATCAAGTCGAAGCAAAAGAAAGAAAAGCGTGAGCGTGAGGAAGGTGAATGCCCCCCTGCTAGGACTGCCAAAAGGCAGGTCGTTAAGCAGGAGCCCAAAAAATCTAGGGGTGGGAAATGAACTGTTTGTGACTTGTTTTTCGGGCGTTGCGGGTGAAGCTCTTCCCACACGGACCCGTGTGTTTGCAATAATTGGGATTGATGTTGAGAGGTTCAAACCCAAGACCATAGTCGTGTGGGGGCAAGCATCCAAAGCAACTGCATTAATCATATTTCTGCTTGGGGCATTGAGCAATGCTTGAAAAGCCTTGCGGGGTGGGTGATAACATCCACTCAATCCGATCTTTCATCAAGACTATATTGCAAATCACAGGGTGGCAAAAGGGAGCTGTGAGTTCTGGTGAGCGCTACTTTGTGCATTGCATGTGTATGCCAAAAGCCAGGGTCCCGTTGAACGCGTCAATGTCCATTGTTTAGATCAGAATTGGGATCGATAGAGACTGGGCGCAAGGCACCTCAAACTGACTATAGTATCGCTGCGTCGGCATGAGCCAGGTGCATCGAGTTCCTCACTTACACCTGGACCTCTTCTCCATCATGCGGTGGAAACTATAGCAAATGGAGCTGCTCACATGAATTTGCGCAAATGTTTTCAGAGTGAGTTCCCAATTTGTTTAAAGGTGGGATGCCCTCATCTTAAGACTCTGCCTCCTTCTTTTAGACGTTGTCCATGTTGTGCCTCAGGCTCCTGCCCAAACACTTCAGAAGCACGGGGAGGCTTTGCAGGCTGAGCTGCAATGCGACCCACACGAGGCACTGCATCCCTCTACAATATCGATGCTGGGACGGTCTGCGAAGAATGCATCTAGACAGTACAAGCGAACCGTAAAGCGCTTTGGCTTTGCGCTGAGTCACGGCGGTGCTTTGGCATTTTTATTTGTTTCTAGCTCTTTCCAGGGTGCTGTAAATAATAATCTATTCTGCAGTTGTTTGTCCTGTGCAGTTTGAGGAAAGTTCCGATTTCATACCATCAGTTTCAAGAAGACGGAACTGTTGCCCTTCTTCCGTATTTGAAGCCCACCCACATGTTTGCACACTTGCTGGAACATTATCCTTGGATTTGCCTTGGTGGTTTGAATCCTGGCCCTAAAGCGCAGCAGTTGCTGCACAGCTTTTGGAGGACCTACAGAGTGGAACACCCATCGCATCTGCTGTTTCAGGACGCTGATGTTGACTATAGGTATGTGATACCTCTCATCATACATGGGGATGCGGGGCGCTCATTGAAGAACCAACCAATTGAGTGCATCAGCGTGCAGCCAGTCTTGGGTCTTGACACTGCTATGGACCCATTTGTTTGTACGTGCTGTGCTCAAGAGAAACATTCCGCAAGGGATTGCAATGATCCAATGGCACAAAGGCTGAATTCCAAGAACCATTCCTACCTAACACACTTCTGTGCAGCTGCCTTTCCAAGCAAAAAGTACCAAAGCACTCCAGGTTTGCTTCTGTCGATTTTGCATTGTATTTCGGAAGACCTGAGACAGTTGTGCACCGATGGTGTGAAACGACCTGAAGGCACATACAAATTTGCATTGCTCGGGTTCAAAGGCGATTTGGAGTACGTTGCCAAGTGTGGCATGTTGAGCAGAAGCTATCAGAATGTTGGCCACGTGAATCAGATAGCTTGCTGTTCAGATTGCAAGGCAGGGCTGCCCCAGTACCCGTTTGAAGACTTCACAGCAAGGGCACAATGGAAAAGAACAGTGCACATCGAGGTACCATGGACAGCAATACCTCCATTTGCACCAATAGCTTTCGAGCCCTGGAATTCTGGCAAAGCGAGCATGTGGTTCCGGGGGGACCCATTTCATATCTTCAGGTTGGGCATTGCGAGGAATTTCATCGGATCAACGATTGTCATGCTTGCCCATGAAGGACACTTCGACGATACAACTGACGCAAGCGAGAGTCGGGCATTGAAGGCGCGATTGGAGAGAGGATGGGCAAGCTTTGCCCTTTGGTGCCACACCCACCGGGAGACACCAGCTGGCCTCAGGTCTTTCTCCATCCAAAAGCTTCACATGCCTACTCAGGGATCTTTTCCGTACATTGGCTGCAAGGGGAGTGACACGATCTTGCTACTTCGATGGCTGCAATGGTTTACAGGGCTGGCCCTGATCAGCCATCCGGCAGACAACACTCTGACTCTGATGCTGCGTGGGTGTCAAGGGGGCCTCAGCTTTCAAAAGATACACAACCATGGCCTGTGGCTCAGGAGGCAGTGTCGCTTCAACATTCACCGAAGCATCAAAACCTTTCTCTCCGCATATGGTCACCTTGCACGGATTGCTCAAAACAAGCGCTACACATTGTACAGCATGGTGCCAAAAGCGCATGCTCTGGATCACATTGCTGATTTCATACAAAGGTCAAATGGGAATGAGTATGTGTTGAACCCATGCACTTTCGATTGTTCCATGGCAGAAGATTACATTGGACGCCTGGCGCGTCAATCGCGCAGGGTCAGCGCCAAGAATTGTGTGTCCAACACCCTGTTGGCATACAAGGTGAAGGCACGCATGCAGATCTTGCGCCATAAAAGGGCTCGAAATCTGTGACTGTTGCAGCTGTCTTGGAGAAAAGTCAGCATTTGTGTGTGTGTGTGTGGGTGTGCGTGCGTGTCACTCGTATATTTGTTCCATCTCTTAATTGTTTATCTCCTATCTTTGTCATCCCTCTCCATTCTTGTTTCCGTCTCCTCTCTCACTCTTCGTCCGGTTGCATCCGAGGCGCGGTCAACTGGCTTGCGTCGGGCATGAGGGCATGGGGGCATCGATCGAGGAAGAACTGGTCAATGGATTCCATGGATTAATATGTTGATTTCTTCTTGTTTGGTTTGGCATTGCTGGACCTCCGGATGGTTGGGGTTTTGCTTTCCTTACGTTCAATCTTGGGAAACAGCACGCAAACCATGCATTGAAGAAGATTTGGTTGCATATGCAGTCCCTCATACATGTGGCCTAAACATGGAAAGAGCCAAAATTGCTAGAGGCAGTTTTTGGTTTAAGAGGCTGAAACCAAGGTGAGAGGCAGAAATTTTTGATGTTTCTGCCAGAGGCTGAAATAGGGCACAGCCGGAGGATTGAGGTATATACATTAATGTATCATTTGTAAAGTAATGTATCATGATACAACATTTAATATCATATATATTTATATAAATAAGGTCTTTTGTACGACCGGGCGGCTATGGAAAGTTTGGGGTGGGATTCCAGGGTCGGTCCAGATCCCCGTGTTAGCGTTAGCTCCGACCCAAAACCCAACACCTTTCGATCGATTGATAGGATGAATCAAGAAATGCCACAGCCACAAAACGATGTGATGCGCAAAAAGGCGCATCTGAACATGATGTGAATGACTAAGTTCCTATAGAAATGACACCTCTCCCACTTGTCCACCTCTGTTTTGCTCATGGTAGTCTGTGCTGCCTCAGAAGTAGATTGCAATCATAGGGTCCCGGCCGCAGCAAAAGTCACACATTCTATCCCAACACAATGCGTGTTACTGCAAATGGGAATTGCTTGTACCAGTACATATTGCACACCGATCTACTTGTTGTATTCGTCGATCTCAATACAAACATCTACACTCACAAACAATAATAACATACAATAACCGAACAAGCAAAAAAGGACACAACGGATGCTTTCCCTAACATGTACAAGCACCATCCATTTGTGGTCGTTTTTTGCGACTCAACCAGACGAGTGGACAAACTAGGCACTGGCAAACCCCTGTCCCATCCTCGAGCGAACACCCTTCTTCGACCGGCGTAGTGGTGTAGAACGCACTTCATCATCCTGCTGTTCCAAATCCAAAAGGGGGGAAATCTTCTTATAGAGAAACAGTTGTCATCAGTTGGTCCCACGTGGTCCTGATGGAATGAGGCCAAAGGAAAGTCGGCCTCACCATCCCTCACCTCGACGCCATCAAAGGCATCCACTTGCCGCTGTAGAAGTTTCACCTCAGCTCGCTACGTTTCGATCAACACACCTCTTGTTTTCGAACATCCCCCTTCCAATCCTCGGTCTCCCGTTTCCTTGCATTTCGCTCCCAGGACGTCCGTCCGAGGACGCAGGGGACACCCCGTCTCCGTCTGCCCGTTGGAGCGTCCCGGTGTGAGTTCGCGGCGACCCGTTGGGGAGCCCGGCGCGGAAGAAACCGCTCAAACAAAGTCCCGCGTCGACCTCGGGCGAGAGCCAAAGAGACCCGTTTGTGACCGCCAGCGCTGTTTGAAGGCAGGCGCAGCGTGTCCACACGGAAAGACCGGAGCTATTGATATAGATACCCCGAAGCGCGGGAAAAGGGACATGAGCCATGAGGTACAATCTATAGCCCCTAATTGGGGGGATCATCTATCCCAAACATTGCAAGATGGTCTATATGTTCATCTATTTTTTGCATAAAACAACAGTCAAAGGGGTTCTAGGCACCAGGTTCATCTGGAACCTTTTTCATGTGTTTATATATTGCTTTGTGCACCATGGGCAACACTGATTCCGCCCGAAAAATCGAAAACGATGGACAGATCGACGCATGTTCTGCCGCTCCAAGGCCGTTCTTCCGCTCCTTCCGCTCCAAGGCCGTTCCGAACCTGTGACCCGGAAATTCGGTGTTCCAGCCCTAACGGGTGTTCCTGCGCATGGTTAGGCACGGGGAGGCATCGCGAGGTGCCCCAGGCAGTTTACATAACGTCTTTTTTTGGCACCCCAAAACCGTGGCAACTGGTTAAAAATGCTTCGGAAAGTGTCCTAAGACTCCGGGCCCAGAAAGCTGGTTCGGGTCCAACCCCGTGGAGGGCTTTTTGTGACCTCAAAAACAGGTTTTGAAAGGTGACTGTTCAGAGGTGAGTGGCCATTTTTTACGCTTGTGCTGGGAATAGCCACTGGTGGTCTTCGCAATAAAATGAGCCAAAGCCTGTGCAATCTCGAACAGCAAAACTGAGACCTCAAAAATCAACCTGAAACCTTATCCCAAACTCAACACAAATAGCCAAGCATCATGGATTCTGGAGGGAGGTTCCTTTCCAACTTGTGGAATCCCGTTCATCCTGAGGGGAACTCCAATCCCAAATATATGCTGTGTGGCAAGCCACGTGAGAAACCTCACCAGTCGAGCTGCGTTCGCTCGGTTTCACCAGTCGAGCGATCACCACTTCACACATTCAGTCCATGGGACTGCGCAGTTGCCATACTCTGCGTCCAGCTCCCGGAGAGAGAGACCCTGCACGCTCCAGCGTGCTGCGATCTGGGTACCCTGCGCGCTCCAGCGGGCTGCGAAACTCGAAACTCGAGAGGCTTGGAAGGCTGGGAAGCCCGACTGTCACCCTCATCTCGAATGAATGCATCTAACAAAGTGTCACATGCAAGAATTTCAGGACAGATCACTCATGAATCATTATCAATCAATCCATATCATGGATTACTTTAACGTTTTCTGTTGTGGTTCTGGAGTCAGTACCTACAATTTGATGTGGAGGCTGCACACCACTGTAACCGAGCATGTGTGTCACTAAACATAGTGTTCTGAGAACAAACAACTCTGCCCTGCAAATGTTTGAATTGCCCCTGTTAAGTGACACATAGAAGCTGAAAATGAATGGAACATGGAACAGCTCGGAAAAAAAACAAAACAATCTGTATACAAACAGGTGTTATATATACAGAAGGTTCTCTCACTTCTTCTCCTACTTGGTGCGAACTGATGGAACGACTATGGAACGACTCAGCCTCGACCGATCGACCGATCTCGGAGTACCATGCGCCTCGCACAAGGCGTCCGGATCCACGGAGGAGGGGCACCGTGGCAAGCCCTGCGGCTTGGAACCATGCGGCTATCCCAGCAGCAAGACTGGATGATGATGGTTAGTACTAGGACAAACCCAAGCTATTATATATTTTATAGATTTATGATGATTTATGTGTTTATATCCTGCCAATTTCATGATATATTTGATGAAAGATCCAAAGAACCTCACTGCTTGTGAGGCTCCAACCTTCGACCGCTCCGGTGAGGAGAACCGCTTCGGGAGAACCCTTCCCACCGCTTCGCCGATGGCGACGGGTCCAATGGAGCCAACGATGTTCCTCACATGTCCTGTCCCTGGACCGATACACCGATACCCTAAACAAAGGAAAGGACAGCTCATCCAAAAACGCAGCGCAGGTGAGTAGTGAAAGGACAATCGTAGCACTGGGCCAGTGGCCTTCAGTGCCCCTTGAAGAGAGCATATTATGGGGACATCTGACAACTATCAACCGTATCAAGATCCTACCAGCACCACCCAAGAGTGGTTGTTGGACAAAAAGCACATGAAGACAAATGGTACATGGGTCCGAGGTGCTGGTTCAATCCGCTCAATATAGCTATTCACGTACACAGCTTCCGGGTTTTCAGGGAAAACCCAGCATCCACACCTCTTTTTTTCCGTGGAACAACACACAAAAAGCGGAAGTCGGTCGTTCTCCTCAAGGTCCAAGCGGGAAGCCATGCGCACCTCGTGGGACCGAGCGCGGTGGGACCGAGATGGACCGAGTGTGGAACCCCAAACACCCGAGTGTGGAGCCCTGAGAGTCCTCATGAAAGACGGGTATAGGATCCCCCTTGGTACAACGCGTGGGGGTTGAGAACGCCATTCTATATTCCAAGGGGGATGGTATAGGGATGAATTATGACTTCCAAGTGGGGTAAAATGAGTCCTTGGAAGTTCTGGGAGACTCTTCTAGAGGCACCTCCATGGTGGATGCGATGTACGTCACGCACGCACTCAATGGATGGGGTACGGTGGGAGTCACTCAAAAGGCCTCCGCAAATGATAGGCCAAAAGGGGATCAACGGGGTTGGCAGCCATGCGTCTACGTGGCCGACAGCACACAAACAGAACGTGACAAGTACAAAGAACAAAGCAAACGAACTAGGCCTATGTGATGTGGACGACAAATGCAAAGTTTTTTGTGTACTGAGCTTTTGACTCCAACTCCTATATGAATTTGGTATATACTGCTCAACATGTGGGAGCAAAACAACTTACATGTTCATAAATGATTCTATGGTTCACAAGTCCTCTTGTTCTGTGAACATATGCTAGTTGGTTCACAGGGTGCTTGAAGCCATCGGTCTAAGTCATCAATGAGTCTGTCCACGCAGTCAGACTAGGGACGTTCCATGACATGTCAGGGACCTCGGAGGCTGCAAGAAACCGCTCCAAATGTTCATGCCATGTACCCAAAAACCGCCCCAAGAGGACACGGCCAATGGCAGTCTCATGGAGTATCGTGTCTGACATTGTCTGACTCAAGGGTTGGTGGAAAGATGGTCTCGGAAAACAACAAAAAGGAACACACACCAATCACCAAGTGAACTCGTTGATTCTCAGCTGCTTATTCCGCGCATCGCCTTTGTTTGTTCTCCCACTGGAACCAGTTCCAGATCATCTCCCAACGGAGACGATTCCGCTGAGTTCGATCGTGACGAACGACCGTGACTCACGAGTCGGAGTACTACCGATGGGTACGGATTCTGCCGTGGGTGACGCACGGTGGTATTTCCAAGGCGGAATCCTGAAACTCAGACATGAATTGATGCATGTTGACTTCTTTGAAGTTGCTGAGAGCTATGTATCACGACAGATTTAGTATCACGATCTCATGACTAAAGCCAGAAAACATGGTTTGCGTGTTCCTACAGTGTTGGAGGAAATGAATGTCAAAGCTCCCCAAGTTGACAGGAACGATTTGTCAAGACCTTTTAGACGGTAATCACTTGTCTGATTGAGCTTAAGGCTATGACTTCGCCCACCCAAGGCCGGCGCCCAGATTCTTTGACCACAGATCCTGGGGGCCCGGAACGCACTTTCCGTTGGTCTTGCCACCGCAGCCGACCCTTGCCTCAGCCAGATCCACCGAGCGTTGCCACCGTGCTGCCGGAGCGTGGGGAGGGCGGGCGTCCCGGGCGTCCCGGGCGCCTTCCGCTTCTGTGGACTGGACGGCGCGGACGCTGTACCGGGACGCCAGACCCAAGCTCCATGGAGTTCCATTCCGTCGATGGGATCCTGAGATGGGCGGACCAAGTAGCGGTGGATCGTTGAGCGCTTGGCTTTGCAGCAAGCAAACTCTTCACTAGTTCTAGATTCTAGGTTGGGGCGCTGGGAGAGTAGGGGTGTCCCTGTCGCATGCACTTTTTAGATACAGCTGATACAATCCACCTGGCCAAGCCATGCACTGATATATACTGTAAGACTCGCAATGATAGCCGGCCTGGAATATATTAGACAATATTGAATATGTGATAATATGTGTACCATATAATAACCCTGTACATTCCTACAAGGTTTCTACTGCTGTCTCCAAATCAAAAGCTTTCTTGCTGGTCTCCTGTCTTGCTTGCGCTGGCACCATTTGCTCCACTTCGCTCCACTACTCGTGTCTCACTCAGGAAACAGGTCTGCAAATACCGCTCCTCACTCCCATTCAAGCCCGAAGAATCTCCTCAGATTGGACTCTTGATTGATAACCCCCCCCGCCATTTGGATGACAAAACCCCCTTCCAGTTTGGGGGTTCAAATATCACTTGGAGTTGCTTAAGGAGCCGTGAAAAAGGTTTTAAACAACATGTTCATCATTGTTCATCACCAAATCTGGCCTGCTTTTAAAAAAGTTGATAAGTTGATAGCAAAATATATATTCTTTATAGGTGCAAACAGCCGGCAAACCTTGTTTATGATCAGGGTAATTGGGTGAAGACCTCGGTCCACCCCACTCCACGCCACTCCACCCCAATCCATTCCACTCCATTCCACTCCATTCCATTCCACTCCATTCCACCACTCCACCACTGGGAGACTGAGCGGTGGGTGACAACCTCTGAAGTTCCCTGCCAGACCCACTGATCCTCAAATTCAAGCCAACAAACATAAAAATTATGCTTTTAAGAAAAACTGTGATCTACCAGGTTGCGACGGTCGCAGTCTGGTAGAACCATCGCTAGCGGTAGTGAGACACTCAGGAGGGGTCATGGTTTCACTGGACCTGCTTCAAAAGACTGTCCTTCGCCCCAAGTGCATACGACCATCACTACTTTGAGGGTGCTCCAGCGAATTCAAAACTCCCACAAGAACCATTGCTAGCGGTAGTGATTGGTGTAAGGGCTTGTGACACTCGCCACTTGGTATATCAGTGTTTGGCTTAGTGACAGCCAACATGTTTCTTTGGGATTGAACCTTTGACAAAGGGAGATCCCCTTAAGACCATGATTCAAGCCTGCCATCAACCCTCCCGCAAAACTCATTTGTAGTAAAACTTGGTAAACTTTTAGATAATCAGTGGCTTGAACCCAACATGTTTCTCTCTGGGCATTGAACCTGAATCTGAAGGAGGTTCCCGTTAAACACATGGGTATACCCTGATTACTATAAACGCAATTGGACACCATGTTGAATCTGACTCAGAGTTTGCCTTTCCAACTAACATGAGCAATATTGTTCAGCTATCAACTTATCAACTTCTATAAAAGCAACCCAGAAATCACCCAGAAATCGCCAAACCTTGATCATCCTAGTCCACGTCGACGTCAGCTACCGCGCTCGGTTGGCTGTCCCAGAATCGACGGTCTCGGTCTCACTGCAGCTCGGACAAGTGAGGCAAGCGAGTGAGACGTCCTCGCGGTCCGCGGTCCGCGGTCCATGCCGCGGCCGATGGTGTAACCAAATGGTGGTGTTGATCGCCGTTCAAAAGGATGTAATCAAGTTCCCAACATGCCTGTCTCCCCTGCAGTGCCCAATAGGGAGAATATATTTACATCCGCCTTCCTCCACCACTGAGTTTGTGTGGGGGCCTGACAAACAAACGTTTGTTGGTCACCCTGCTTCAATCCGTGGAGTTCCAGGACCGGACTTCACTGCACATCCACTTGGGCGACCCACAGCACTGTGGGTGAAAGACAGGTGTGAGTCGACACGTTCTTGGGCACCAAGAGGGTGATGTGAGTTGACAGCAAAGACAACACATGCTGGACAAGCTTCTTCATATTCATTCGCATCTTGAACATCCCAACATGAGGGAAAATGTATCCTGTACGACCTAAATGGACATAAATAGCACGAAAAGAGAATCTTGTTACACGATTCTTCAAGATTCTATTATCTGGAAATCCAGTCCCAACATGTCTCAACCAGTTGTTCCAATATGGCACTTGAGATCCTTTGCATTGCATGGCATATTAATGTTTCTTGGGGCGACAGCTAAGGGCTGTTGGGTGTCGAAGAAACATGTGAACACCTCGAACTTCTCGGTGAGAAAAATTATGAAAAATTGATGCTCAGAGTTGTCCAGGTCTCCAGCCCCACATGTCTTACCCCCATATGTCTTCAGGTACATTGCGTGGTTCCCTTGTCAAGCACGGAACAGCTGATGACTGATCCATTTTTACAAGAGTATATATACAAGTGTACACGAGTACCCCCTATAGATGATCTCTTGCCCAAAGTGGTTGGACCATTCGAGCAATTTGGATGTTTGACATCGGTGTCACATGGTGTCACCATCTGTCAAAAGGCATACTTTGATGAACAAAAGTGACAGCCCAGCAGTCACAAAGGGGTGCTTAATGGAAGTTAGGGGTGCCCAGCTACTCCACTCAGTTGGGGATTAAACACCACCCCTTTGTGACTCCTGGGCACAAAAACATGTCACAGCAGTGGACTTCGATGCGTCACACTTCTTCCGCTTCGTCCTCAAAGCGGCCCTTGGGGCAGTCCACACAGATCTGGGCCGTGCTCCGGAAGCGACGGACATCGTCCGACGGTATGGGTGTGTTGATGTTGTCAAAACGTATCTGTTGACTCGGAAGGTACCCACCTGGAGCCTTGACTCGGGGTACCCCTGGAGATCCGTGGCAGTGGAGACCCGGAGTCCGGAACCTGATGAGGTCCCAAAGCCTGTGAGGGTCAACGCCAAACTGAGGCTCCGACGACCCTTTGGATAGTCCAAACATGTCCAAACCAATACCCTGGGAGTCCGCTCTGGACCATCGGATGTGATAAACATTTACTTCGGTGGTGCCCCAAATCGTCGAGCTGGACTTCTTCGGGAAGAGACGTATCATGACGTATCTAGCCTTCATGACCTTCATCAACTGCAGGAATCTGACCTTTTGAGCCTCTTGTTCCCTCTCTTTGGGTGAAAAAGCAACCCCTTTCAGCACAGAAGATCAGCACAATTCAGCACACAAACATACTATCGGGCGAGAACTTCAAGGGTCGTCGTCCCGTTGAAGAACTTCATGGTTGTGTCTGAGGGCCACCAGGTCTCAAATCAAAGGGCCGGTCCCTGGAGACTCACCAAAAGTACAGTTCTTCTCAAATCTGGCCTCACAGTACCCGTGTTGCTCCATGTTGCTTCAACTGTTAAAGCCTCGGTTGAAAACTATCCTCCATGACTGAACCTGCATTTTTTTTGGCACCTGCAAGCAACTGGGCAAGAATGTGGAAAGTAGATGGTAGAAAGATGTTTGACAAGCCCCACACGCCTGTGATTCCTTCTAATGAGAATCTCCTAGAATCGGGACGCCTACCCGACCCACAAACAACGAGAATAACGAAACGAATTGGTAGATGATGATGATGATGATGGTATTAGATGTGAGCAGTATGCATTGCAAACGCTGGAGGTTCTGTCGACATCATGCCTACAATTTGCAAGTAGGGAGCAAGTCGTCCAAAAGCCACTACTTGCGTCTCCAATTCAAGACGATCCACTTAACCCTGACTGATTATGCTAGACAATGCTGTTTACAGTCATTCCTAGAACCATCCAACATGAAGATGTTCAGCACAAACCTGGGGCCAGTTGCTTGGACAGTCCCTCCGCTCAAATCTGCCTCCCGAGCGTTTTCATTCAAAAGCGAAACTCAGCTGCCCTGGAAGTGGCGCCACTTGACATATCCCATGCAGACATGATATAGATGCCTAATGATGCCTACATTGACCCCAGGTCAACCACCCCTGCCATACAGGATTCATATGCCAGTCCCTCCCTCGTGGTGTCGTGTCTGGGTATGGACATGTTAGGACTCATGTCTCACATCCATCAGCTCCAGATCCGTATCAGCCAGTGTCCGTACCCCCTGAGTGCCCGCACTCCCAATTGCTGCCCTCCACAGCCATGGCGGACGTAGTCCTCAGACCGGTGGAGGACAAGAAGAACACCGGACTTGATTACTTGGTGTATACCTGGGTCTTCATAGCTGCTATGCCACTTGCTATGCCCTTTTTCTGCCAATCAAAACGACGTTTTTCAAGCAAACGCCCACTATTTGGTATATTGCATTACTCCATGTAGCACATCCTTCCCCACCTCACCACTTCATCCCCGCCCTGTGGCGTCACGGCGGTGTGATTCTTCGATCTCAGGGTGCAGCCACTGGAAAGGTGCAGGCGGGGCAGTTCCGGCAAATCGGCGAACTGAAGAAGCTCGAGCCCTGGCGTATCGCGTGGCGTGGCGCCACGAGGAGGGCACCAAGTTCTGGTGCGCAACAACGTTCGGCACGCGCAAGTTCTGGTGCGGCTGCGGGAGCTGTTTCGTTCCTGTTTGTAAAATTGTTTGGTGCGAGACAACACTTGGAGGAACTTCTTCGAGGACCGGCGACCGCGCCGCCGCGCCTTTCTGACCGACGGGATCGTCCGGCGCGCTCTACAAGGCGTGGACCCATGAAAGAAGCACTCCGAAAAAAGCCCCTATTGCTGTTGGGGCGTTGTTCTCCTGAGTGGTGAGTCACTGAAGTGCTGGCGACCTACATCGCCTTTTGAGGTGGATGAGTGTCAGCATGCCTGCAAGGCGTTTGTTTGAGCCCTGTACGGGTAAAAATATGTTGCCCCCTTGTTCCTCTGCACTTCTTTTGCAAAAGAATCCACTTGTTTAAGCCACGTATGCCAACCCAAATGCACGAGTCGGATTCATTCGAGATCAAGTTCACTGGCCTGGCAAGGTGCGCAATAGCCTGGATTGTCTCCACCTGAGAGAATGGCTTGTGAAATTGGTGACTCTAAGCAGTGATTGGGACAGAAACGCAGGAACTAGCTAGACATAGCTAGACATATTATAGACAGCCAGGAAGACCAAGAGACAGGCCCAACCTGGACCGGAAGATAAACATGAAGATTTACTTCTCCCGTAGCACCCCTGGGGCACCTCATTGTGGCTCCAAATTCAGAACAGTTGCCCGGTTGCCCTAGTGGTTTTGCTTCGTATTTGGACGTCCCAGAACTTCGAAGTCTATGTCAAGATGATGCCTGAACGGGTTTGTCAGCTCCCTTCGCAGAAACCACATCTGAATGGCGTCCAAATTACGTTCAAGTTGCGCAGGGGAATGGGTTACATGAAAGGGTTGTCCAGGACAACAATTCCTGTCCAATCTTCAAATGGTTTACTGTTTCGGATATGGGCCGGGATGCAGCAGGTTTGATCAACAGCTTCGTGCCTTTTGTGTACAGTAGATGTTTGAAACACTGAACTCCAAATGAATCCAACCATCACATTCCACTCTTCTGAGAGCCATGTTCACCACCCTCCCTCCATGTTTCCGAGGGGCCACATCCAACTCGCATGTGGCCACTGGGGCAGCTTTCACAAGGTAAGCAAGTATCAGTGTAGGAGCCTTCCAACCTGGCCACGGCCGTCCAACGGGCGACCCAACTCATCCATCTGGTCGGGCCCAAGAGAGCTGGTTTGTGATCAGAAAAAGCTGCGTGCCAAACAGGTCAGCGCAGCCCCTTCACCTTGTACTCCTTCCCCGCTTCGCAAAGCTCGCAAATCCCCTGTGTCGAGGGCCCACAGCGTCGGCGTACCCTGCGGCACTGACGGTGGACGCACTGACAGGCACCAACCACCTGTCCTTGGGATCTTAATCAAGCAGCAACACTTCACATTCACATGTACGGTTTTGTGGATGCAAAAAACAATCTAACAGGTACCAGGTAACCGGTATCTTCAAACGGGCAAGCGTACTCCACATACCCGATTGGAGTTGGAGGTTTCTATTCTCTGGCTGTGTTTCCCCAAAGAAAGCATAAACCCATTGAATGGACATCAAGAACTCATTGGTACATCAATCACCCATCAATAACTCTGGAAGACCCCCCTTTCAAGCCCTAAACGGTGTGTTGGTCGGTCCATTGAGTCCTGTTTGTTTCCCTTCCGGATCGAGTCTCGTCTCAGACTTCGTCTGGAACGGACGCTCTAGAGGACGTCTCGTCGGGTTATCACCCGGAACCGGGGGCAGCGGGCGAAGGGGCCGCCGCGTTGCGCGGCCAACGGGTGTTTGGCAAAACGGTGATGTGCTTGAAAGGTGTGTGGAAAATGGTGTTCCACGGCAGGAACTGACTGACCCAAATCCTCATGAAGAACAAGGCCTTGACCAAGGAATGAGAATTCCAGTTGTCCCTCCAGTCCATGGTGAAAGTAGCTGAACACTCAGATTCTGCAGAGGTCGTTGTATGAACACAGCGTCATTCGAACCTCTGGTATTTGACTTACAGTATTTGTAGCTGAACCAGGCTCTTCAGCATCATCTCTCTGGAGCGTCCGGTATCCAGATACTCAACGACCCAGCTGCTGGTATAGAAGAACATTGTCTTCCCAATAATACATTCCAAAAGGTTACTAGTAGTTAGTAGCTTCTTGTTCCTAGTAGTCAAACCAGGAGCTACTAGTAGTGTCCTTGCTCCGTTCGTAGCGATGCCAGGAGCTACTAGTTAGTGACTCGAAGAGTACCACATCAACTGGAATTAGATACCTCCAATAATTGGAGTCAGCTCGTTCTTCCATGCGAAGCTTTCAGAAAACCGACCGTTCCAAGCCCTTCCTTCCACCCACACGGTTCCCGGTTTCTCCGCGCCTTCCGGCTTCGCAAGGTTGGCAGGGTTGACATTCGCTGTCGGCATGGGTGAAGAGATTATACCTGCTGGCTGGCTAACATCGGTCCATCGGTATCGGCCCAGTGCATCCCACCCACCACGGACGATGTTCGGAACCAGGGATGTAGGAACCGGTATGGATTTAGTCGAAGTGGAACCACGGGTTGCCAGCTATGGTGGTTTGCCTGGATGCCCTGGGTTGGGTCTATCCCATGCCGTGGGCCCAGTAGATGATGATGGTTCAGTACTGATTGTTTACCGACTGTTCCAGGCAATGGGACACCCCTATATAAGGTATCTTGTTTCTAGTGTGACCACGCTGGTAAGAACATGTCAGGAATTGCCGGAATTGCCCAGTTTGCAAAGTTATGGCGAGGGGACTTCGATAGGCAGTTGTACGACCGCTTCCGCCGTTCGCTGCGATCTTAATTCACGGCAACTCACCTCGCAGAAGCCCCACGAACCTACGTCCTCCGCCTGTCCCGCGTGGGCGGCGCCCCCTCACCAACGCCTCCCGGAAGGGCAGTCTTCACAATAGCCCGGGTCGTAAGCATGGCAGCCCTTAATGACCTGGCCACACAGCCACACGGCCACACGTCAAACCTCGTTGCCCGGTCGATCTTGGTGGATCCACCGAGAAACTTCATGTCAATGCGGGGGAGTACGTAATTCGATATCTGGAGAAATCAACGTCTGATGATATCTTTATAATTAATTCATATTAAATTGTTTATATAGAACCAAGAGGTAGAAAAGCGTGGTCAAAGAGGTGCTTTTGCTGAGTCAAGGGTCGAAGATCAAACTGAAGGACAGTTGGAGAAGAAATTCAGCACCAGAACGCAACAATTCCTCATGTTGACGGTTCCCTAGGCGTCCAATCACAAATGTTCTAATTGGTGCTTACCGAACAAGCATTGTTTTAGCTAAGCAACTTTACCGAGTTTACGATATATGTTACACTAAGAAACCGGGTCGCCCATTCGTTCTTTAACGATCTTGACAAACTAGGGCATTGGTAAGAAAACTATATAGATGGGAGATGTTGGACAATCCTCCTGTTTATGGGGATTGATTCATTCAGAGTCAACATTTCTCGACTGGGGATGACGAATCAATGGATTGGTGGATCGATCGAATCAAAACATCTGCAACAGGTTTGAAGTCACCTAACGAGGGGTGATCTGGGCACAACACCAAGAAGCACAAGAAGACCACCACATGATCCGGGTTCCAATCGCTTTTTCTGGCACGTTGGGCGCTTGTGCCCAGTGGGAAACAAGTCTTACTTACGTCAGATGTGTCCAAGCTCTCCCTTTCGATAGGGGGAGGGCGTCTCAGCCCTTCATGGAAGGTCTCAGGTCTTCATGATGTCTGATTGATTCATGGTCTATATGCGTCTTCCCACGTAAAGAGTTCCAGCAACTCCGCCTGCCCAGGATAGCAAACAGTGCAGCACGATGCGAAAAAGAGCTTCCCCTGAATCGTGCCATTCTCCGCCTGAATTTGTGCGTCAGCAGGCAACCAATGCCGAGAAGTTTCTTGTCATTGTAGGACTCTGAGATAAGGGCCCTGCGTAGATTGATTGTTTTGTTATTTGTATGATTTAAAGTTTTGTTGTGTGGTTCGTCACCTGTTGGTCTGTTGGTTGGGTTGAGTTGGGTTGGCCTGGCCCGGCCTGACCTGGTTGGTTTGGTTGGTTGGTTGGTTGGGTTGGGTTGGGTTTGGGTTTGGGTTTGGTTTTGGGTTGGTTTGGTTAGGTTGGTTGGTTGGTTTAGTGTGTTGTGTTTATCTTTTTGTGTTTATCTTTTTGTGTTTTGGTGTTGGTTGTTTGTATGTTTTATTGTTTTGTTTGTTTTGTTTGTTTTGTTTGTTTGTTTGTTTGTTTGTTTGTTTGTTTGTTTGTTTTTTGATTGACTGATTGATTGATTGATTGATAGATTGATTTGTTGGGCTTGATTGATGTGTTTGGGCTTGTTTCATTTGTCGGTGTGCATGTTTGTGTCTTTGTTTGTGTCGTTATCATTTTTTCTGTGTGTGTTTTGCTCGCTTGCTTGCTCGCTTGCTTGTTTGTCTGTTTGTTTGTTTGTTTTTTGCTTGCATGTTTTGTGAACAGAAAACACTTTACCTTCCTGACCTTCCGTCTCACCAACCTCAAGCAGAAACACGCACTCTACCAACAAGGCAACAGTTTTCACACATCAAAAGGTAAAACCTACCAAACCAAAACCAGAACAGCCTCAATACAGCCTGAACCAAACAGAAGAAGAGCCATCAAGCTGGGCAATTATGCAAGGCCCAAGAAGGGAGTTGACGATGTGAAGAATCGCACAATAAACACAAAAACGGAAGAACCTACCAAGTATACCAGTACCGTTATCAAAAAACAACGCGTGAACTTCACCTCAAACTACTGAAGTGAAAGTGAGCAAGGAGCAAGGTGATCATATATTTAGATCGTTATATGTATATGGGTGTTGATCAAAATAAAGGTATCTAAGGCAGCTACAATCTAAGGCAGCTACAATCGCCGATCAACCGCGAATCAATCGCGACCCCAACGGTGTCAATCGCGGGAGAGTGCTCTCGTATGCAACACTATTTTACGCAAAGAATCGTCGAAACATTGCTACATATTATTTAGAGACATGGCGTGAGCCAGGGCCTACACAGGCGGGTTTAACAATCGCGGCACAATCGCGAACCAATCGCGGATGTCGTCGACATTTTTTTGAGAATTGAATTGATCTGGGCTGGTAGACTTTGAACTTTGTTGTTCTGATTCTTCTTTGCTATATTGGCTATCACTATTGAACACAGTGTCTAGGCAAACCCGAATACAGTGTAAGGCTGAACTGTAACATGATTATCATCCCATATAATACTGATTTCTCCTCTTCGATTCTGATACAACAAATGTTTGTCTCAATCGCGAACCAATCGCCGATCAACCGCGATGCAGGGTTTTACAATCGCAAATGCTGAGATACACATGCCCTTTCATAATTCTTAGATTTGCATTTACGATCGGCTCCCATATATATATATATTAATATATAGAGAGAGTGAGCGACCCGGACAATCCTACCCGGGATCATCAAAAGAAAAGTAACAACTGTACGTGTCAATGCGTGTCAATGGGTTCTAAAGGTGCCACAACAGCTGACGCAGTACAAATATTCAATGTTTACCTATGGACCTATCCAATCAATATCTAACCAATATCTACCAGCACCCTCAAACAGGTCTCGTCTGTCTGGAGGCTTTTGGATACTCAAAATGTGGCAGGTAGTGACCGTACATCAACATGTTCAGTCTCGCTTTTTGCATCCTTCCTACTAGTAGCGATGCACCTTGCTACTAGTAGCTTCTTGTTACTATACAGTAGTAATGCCCTTTCTACTAGTAGCTATGCTCTTGTTACTAGTAGCAATGCCCTCGTTACTAGTCCAATCCGCTTCCCTTGGTTCACCCCACTTCGCCTCAAAGCCTCGCAGGTAACCATTGATGTTCCGCTGCTGACGGCAACATCGCAGCCTCCGTTTCTCGCTCCCCCTTTTGGGGAGCAAAAAGCGAGTACTGCTGTGTGAGCTGCAAGGAATGAAAGGAATGCAGAAACTGTGCAACATGTCACATCCCGGAGTGAATGCTGTGCCTAAGATGGTGAAGATTTGAAGCACATGTTCCGTCCAACTCGTTGAACAGACTGGACACACCTGCAGTATGGAAGTGGTCCCCCCCCACCCCAGGATGTTTCCGAAGCTTGACGAGATAGGATCTTCTACGTACGAGATAGGATGCAGCTCTGCAGCTGGCTCTGCAGCACGTCCGACGGAACACATCACATGGTGCAAGTGGAGTCGAAAAACCTCCCTCCCTTTACACTGGAAAGTAGCCTTCCAGAAGCCCAGGTTCCACTTCCAAGTTAGCAAGTCGGAGTGTATTCACTTTTTGATGAATCTCGCCGCTTCCGCCGCTGTGCTACTGAAGCCGCTTCCGTGGCGGGGCAGCAGCCCCCGAACGCCGGTGCCACTGAGGCGTCCGGACGTCCGCCACTCCGGAAAGACATTGTCGCTGTAGCAAGGCTTATTCCTGTGCCACGTGCCACGGCGGTGTGTTGCGTTCCGTCCTCACTTTCGCCCGAGCGGCGCGAACGAATGTTGTGGGGTACAGAGGAGAGCTTCAATCGGGAGCAATCGAACGTCAGAACAATGGGCACTAGATCTGTACTTGGTTTCACCATTCGATACTAGTAATAAATTATGGTATTCTGAATCTAGTGCCGGTCATCATGAGGTGAACTGGTGGCAAACATTCCGGTTCTGGATTCAGCCAGTTCATTGTTCGGCTGGTTGCTGGTGTCATTGTGTTGGCTGCGGCAAAGACCAGCGGGCCAGTCATCTTGACGAGCCTGGCCAAACATTGGTGGGGTTACGTACTGGAAGGATGAAGACTGAGAAGATATGCAGCAAAGGAACACAGTCCAAATCTGAATTGAAAAATACAAAAACAAAGTAAAACACTCACACACGAGCATCTGTCTGGACAAACAAAGGGATGTTCAATGCCGATCCACAAGTAGTGTATGGTAGTCGATATGGGAGACTCCGGAAGAGAAGGTGCTGGTGGAGATATTTATATAAAGAAACACATACCCTACGTAATTACGTCCAGTCTGACCCAGTAAAACCTCGTCCTGAATACGGATACGTCCACCAACTCGAGGAGGACCCACCTCGAGAACTCTGGCTGAGTTAGCCCGAGCTGAGCTCCCGGACTCCACAGCCAGGTAGCCCGGATCACACACTCCCGCGTCCACACAGCCGGTGGTATAACCTCAGAAGCACGTCGTCTTCGCGTTTGGGCGCGAGCTGAGCGGGTGAATTGGCGTGTGAGCCGGGTGAAGTTTGGAGTGTTGGAGAAAGCAAACACAGCATGGCTCGATCCAAATGGCGAGCTCCAACATATTCTCAGATGTAAAGCGAGTTCTATGGCCCTTCAACTAGCCTTCTTTGAGAGCCCAGCCTATGGAAAAATCATGTTTGTCGCTTTGAAGCTGTATTTCAGTTACCATTGGTGCTCCTTGGGGCCACCGGTGCTCCTTGGGGCCACCCTGAATCCATCTGAATCCGCGAACCAGTCTGACATGGACCACACGTCAGGGTACGGGTGGCACTTTCTATTAAAAGAGAATAGTGCCAAACAAAGACTCAAGCTAACAACTGGACGCGCTAATTTGCCCAACCAATCCTCAGAAACATAAGTCCAGCAGGGAAAGGAAAGAACACAATCATGCCATCAACACGTCTAACCCAGAAGTGGAAGACACGACGAGACACTTGTGGGAGAAAGCCAAGAATTAACAACCAAGATTTAGGGTTGTGGGTTTTAATGTAGGCTGGTGATTATCAGGAACAGCTGCTGCACTTCCCGGTGGCCATTCTGAGCTGCAACCATCAAGGCGGTTGCCCCCCCTTGAGCTGCTGCCTTCGGGTCAGCTCCAGCCTCGAGCAACACCCGCGCCACTTCCAAGTGGCCATTCTGAGCTGAAAGGATCAAGGCGGTTGCCCCATCTTGCATTGCTGCGTTCTGGTCAGCTCCAGCCTCGTTCAACAACCGTACCACTTCCAAGTGGCCATTCAGAGCTGCAACCATCAAGGCGGTTGTCCCGTCTTGCATTGCTGCGTTCTGGTCAGCTCCAGCCTCGAGCATCAGCTGCACCACCTCCAAATGGCCTCGTTCTGCAGCAAAAAGCATATATGCAGGAAGGTCAATGTCTGCACCTGTCCCGTTAGGAGTCAGTGGTTTCTGAAGCGACTTGTAACTTCGACAACTTGATTGTTCTCACATGCAAAGTGTAGTGCGTGCTAATTGGCCTCCTCAGGCGCATGGTAGTCCAAGATTACTAACTGCAAACTTGGTAGTGGTCTGACAGGCATATCATCCTGTAGCTCGCCCATCTCTTTGCTCAAGAGTCTAAGTCGAAATCTTGAATATCCAATCTTTGTGGCAATGAGCGTCGTCAAATCTCTAACCTATTTTCTACTCTCCACCATGCAGCCCAATTCGTCCTCATGAAGCTGGGTGAGAACGGCACCTGCAACCGTTATAATCTCCATTGCTCCATTCCTAGAGGAAGTGGCTGATCCAACATGGCTAAAACTGTATATATTATCACATATAGATGTCTTTCGTTGCTGGGGTAAAGGGGGCACTTGATGGGCAACCGGCGCGCTCTTTCCACAAAGGTTCCCGCCTTCACATCGAGAAAGCAGTGGGTCATGTTTCATTGCCATGGCCAAGGCCAATGTCCCAATATGTGTGCTTGACCTCTTAGTCAGGTTTTGACCTGCAGCCATAAAATTTATGATTCAGCCTATATAATTACATCTGTTAAGAATCATGCTGCCTTCGCAAAGGCTGCCACTGTGCCAGGCTGCACACCATCATGGTACCATCTTTTGGACCACTGTGTACGAAGAAACATCTATCTATGCCTATGATTTTTGATTCCGCAGAAATGGACTTACTAAAGTTAAAGGAGAGCTCCACACCTCAGAGCTCCACACGACGCAAAGGAGCCTCTCGCCTGTCTCGCTGTCTCGCCTGTATCTGGTCGAGCAACAACTCTCATCAGAGACTTGATCCACATCCGGCACGGTGAAGTGGCGACGTTCACCTGTCGACCGTGATGAGGCAAGGACCTGGTCTCTGTGTGGCGAGGGTGCCTTCGGTCCCCCACTAGCTCCCCCTGTGCCATGTGCCATGTGAGGTGCCTTCGGTCTGAATCCTTCTCGCTTCTGTGGGGTGCTCTTCGATAGCACCACAGCGACACTTCAAACGCGCGATGAGCTCAAACCCCCTCTCAACGCGAGCTGCTCGGATGCTGATTCATGAAGACCCCAAAGAATTCATAGGAGAAAGCCCTATGTACTGATCAGTTGGGGCGCCTGAAATGGGCTCAATGTGGGCATATAATATAACAGGGATGGTCTGGGATGTATACTCATGGATGGTCTGGAGGGCGTCAGGTTCGCATGTGAGACATCAATCCTTCCAATATGTTAAAGCTGTCTCAGAAAAAAACCATTGGAGGGGAGAGGAGCTATGTTTTCCATGCATTTCCAAACTGAGCCCGGAGTGGCGCAGGTATTTCTTCCATCGACCAAAGTTCAAAGAATTGGAAAGCTTTCCGTGTTCGTGCTGGAGAGATGATGAGACAGAGTGCTTATATATGTGCTTATCCCTATGTATCCCTCCAACATCAGACTTCCCGTCCAAAGCCATAGCTTTCTGCTTGGGCGCCCCAGATCCACTCTCCACCGCTTCCCCCTCCGCCTGTGAAGGGCACTACCATCGACCAGGTGCCATAGGCGTCCACCGCCAGCCTGGGATGGACCCCCCATTAGCGTGGGGGGGTCGGACAAGGCGGATTTGGGAGTGTCTTGTGGGTATAGATTCTCTATCTTTGAGAGTTCCATACCGCTCCGAGGTCAAAACGATGAAGCAGCAAGGCCTCGTGTGTCTTTGGAAAGCAGGAACAAAAACGAAGGTTTCAGCTGGTCCAAGTGCCTTTCTTCCCTTCAACAGTATCGGAAGAACAAACACGAAAAAGCACCTTCGGTGGTCCTTTGGAGGGAATACGGGAATACTAATAGTTTACTATAATATAGTATACAATCTATCAACTTTATTAATCCACCTCCAAAAAACACACCACCTCCAAACTCCTGGATCAGTTCCATCCGGGCAGCTGGTTGGTCCCTGGCCGGGTCGGGGAGTACTCGGGTCGCCCCGCGACACACGAGCCGATCCTGGCCGAGAGCCAGGCAGTGAGAGGGTGGAGGCAGGCAGGCCATGCCACAGTATGTTCTCCTGACTTGGACGCTTGATTCACTTCCCATGTTGTAAACATATTTAAACATGAGGTACACATACGTACTACACCATGGTGAACCCCCCAAAAAGGTCTTTTTGGTCTGTGTGCCACTTCTGAGGGGGCTGTAAGTCAAACGTTTATGGAATCATTCTCTGCTCCAACCGGGGAAGCGCAAGTCTTTTCTGCACTGGAGATGAGTGTTTCACCCTATACGGTTTTGGCTTCAGTCCCAGGATGGCGATCGGAGATTCCTCCTGGCATCAAACAGGCGCTTGAACCACCGCGTCAACGAGGAAAGGAACATCATTGACCTATATTCTGAGTGACGCCATGTGACCCCCCCCGGCGTAAAGATAGGTAGACTCCTAGACGAGGGACCAAGCTCGCGGCTCGGTGCCCAGCTCCGACCCCGTCGGCGACGGGGTCCAAGCAGGTCAAGGCGGACCCCGAGAGCTCCGGCTGGGTGTACCTCGCGCTTCGCACGCGCGAAGCACGAGCTGGGTGCTCCGGAGACCGAGGTCAATGGTGTCTATAGACGGGGTGTGCACTCAATCAGGGAGACCTCCCAGGCGTTCCGACTCTCTGGAAGGTTCGGGAAATAGAACAGTCATAACTCATGACCAGTCTACCAGCCGGGGCCCAGGGCCAGGGGTCTTATTTTAATACACCCAATATCTATGGGCAGTTGCAGCTTTTGTAAGGGACTTAGGGCAACATCCAAGCGTCACGAGTCACGTGGAGGATCTTTTGATTGTCTTCCAAATGGATTTGGATGGATGTGGTAAGGTCAAAAGTTCACTGGTCTCCACTGGTCACCAGTAGCATGGCCAGTCGACCCCTTGCAGTTGGAGGAGCATGTTCCTCTGCAAACAGGTGGGGCCATCCACTTCCATGCTATTGAATCGGATGACCTGTTGGCTGGCAGCCACTGATAGCCATCCAGCGAACGTGTGTTCCATGACCGTCTCGTCCTGTTTCTTTCTCCATCTGCGGATCCGCCCGGGTGCCCCGGCCACAAGCAACTGCCGGCATCGTTGGCTTCGGCAATGCAACTGGTACAGGACCTATACCGATCCCCCAACGAACGATGCGGTCACACACCGTTCGTTGGACAAAATATCGCACCTATAGAAAATGAGTGTTTTGACAAAAGGTGCTTGTTGTGACGCACAAAAACAAAGGAGACCATGGATGCAAATGGATGGGTACTTTTATGTTATACAGAGTTGTTCAGCAAAACAGATCCGTTGCCATGATTCATGGTCTTTTATTTGCTCACCGTGTTGCTTTTCTCTTTGGCACTCAGGAAGAGCACTCGGTTCCAAACACACACCGAGCGTCCCTTCAAACCGTTGGGTGTTGACGCCATGGGTGCGGGCAGAGATCATGTAGACTCTTGACAATTCAATTGGGAGGGCTTATGGTCCTCAAGAGTCTACATGAGGTTTTCTATTGACATCTATTGACACTTGATGACACAGCCTGTTCCCTCGAATGCAACGAACGCATCGTACGTCCGGTCGTGTTCTGAACGACCTTCCACGGACCCCAACACAGAGCTGGGCCCCTTTCTTCGGTGGCCGTTTCTTCGCTGGTCTGAAATGATGGACAGTGCAAACCACCCAACTGATCGGCTCACGCTCCCAATGATGGAAGTGGAATACAGGCCCTAGGATGGTGGTGTTCCGCTTGAAATCAGGGAGAGTCCAACTACACCAGTCTGAGGATCGTGTTCGACCACACCAGTCCGGTGAGGGGGAAAGAGCCTGACTGCTGAGAGATACCAGCACCTTCCGACCTCCGTAACTCGGTCCCTACGGTGCTTGCGGAGGGGGGTTCGGAACATTGACCCGTCTACTCCATCTACCCCACATAGGGGGTTCTCCCTATGATAGCTGTTACACACCCCAATGTTCCAACCACCAAGCTACACATGCTTGAAGCACGCACTGGTGGCTTCTCGCCAGAAGAAGGCCACAAGAAGCACTCCTCCAAGCATGTACCTGGCACGGACCCATGTGGGACGCACCCACGGGTCTCACCGGGTCTCCATGCGTTCTGAGAGCCCCATCAATACTCCGTTACAGTAACCATCTGAAAGCATTCGAAAGACTTGGCTGATTGTGGAAGTGATACGCCATATTTGGCTGATTTTAGGGCAATCCTGGCAATCCTCCATTGAGTTTGCTCCAGTTTAGAATTTAACTCCACCCATTGGCAAACAGGCCGTGCCGGTTGTCGATTACATCAACACCCGAGCCTCCGTAGACTCCAACGACGGGAACGGCCAAGCGTAATTTGAGAAGATCAATGCATCAAGACACTAATACACATAAAGGTCTCAGATATCCTGGACTCTTGACCACTTCGGTGCTCGTGCTTTCTGTTTCACTCAAGCGGTCAATGGCAGACAGGCTTGGACCCTCGGTGAGTGTCTGGAGTCTGAAACAATAACTGCAAGGTATGTGTCTCAATTGTCACAATTTGAGCACCGGCGGTTTCACCAGGGCTCCGACTCCTACCTTGAGTCAGCGAGGTTGGAGCAACATGCAAAGCACTGCAAAGCAGAAAGAAAGCATTTCAGGGCAAACACAAAGTAGGACATTCAAGTTTCTGTAGAAGGATACGGGTCTGCATGGGGAGCATGTTGGTGCCATCTTCTAAACCGGACCTCATGCAGCCTAACAACATGGGGACTGTTTCAAAGTCCGGACTGGACCAGGCTGGACTTGTGCAACAAGGGCCCAGGATCGCGCTATCAACATGGCGCAGAGCGTATTCTCAAACAAGATTGAGGCACCACACCACATCCCAAGCCCTTCCATTGATCAAGAAGTGGGGACGCCAGGCAACATTGGATGCAACATGATGAGGAACATGAAGAACTACTGCTGAGGAAATGGACAACGCCTGACGCACCCCTGATGTTCCGACAGTTACAACAAGAACAGGTCTGGTCCGAAGTTTTCTCTCCTCTTCCATGTGATAGGTCTCCAGCTCTTCATCTAATTCCGCTGACAGGGCTTGTGACATTTGACGTTGATTGTGCAAATATATGGTCAAAAACGTTGCAAAACCTTGCCGCCCCCAGTGACTCCCAACCCAAACATCATTAGAGATGTAGTCTGGACTATCAATTCTCAGGGACCTATTATTCATAAGTTAGAAGTCGATGCCAAAGGACATGAATACATCTGCATACACCCGCCCTAGACTTCCAAGGCAGAAGAAAGGGTTATATATGTGAAAATATTCTAGCAATTTAAACCCCATGGTGGGTTGGTCCAAGGCACAATGGTGGGTTGGTACTCAAACTCACGGACCGCTGGTGCTGGCTGTTTCTTACAGCCGGATGGCCATGGCGATTCAACCATCAGCCCAGGGCTGAAAATGGTGCTTGGATGTTGCTGTGAATCGATGTAAACAGACCCACCCGATCTGGAAAGCTCCGACGGCCGTGGGGCTTAGCTTGTGGCCGATTGAAGGGCGTTGACCGGGCAAACATGGTTTTCAGCAAGGAGGTTACACTCAGAAATAGGGTAAAATAGATAATGTTACGGTAAAATGGTCTAAAACCATCGAAGATATTTCTTGTACAAGACCGTTTAGCTAGGTAAAATTGGTTTCACCATGTTTCACCCCTTCTCTAAATGGTCTTGGAAGGGCTGAAGGCTCCACCCCTGTTCATCGAAGATAAGCCAAGCTGCGGAAGAACCACGTGTGTCTTTTTTCCTTCATCAGGGCATTGGCGTGAAGAGACCTTTTCAGGCTGTCAACACGGTCCACGCACAGGCGCCTTTCTGTTTCGGGAAGCTCTTTCTTAGATGTCTTTAGCACCAATACATGTTCAGCAAGAGGGGTGCTAAAGTGAAACACCGTTGGTCAAGCTCATGAATCGACATGTAATGCTGGTGATTTTTTGAAAATCCTGAAACGCATGAAACATCTACGTGCCTTTCTGATCTGGACAAGGACTCACCCCACGTGCAAGAAATATCTATGATCGAAGAACAGTTCAGAGGGATGAGTGAAGCTTACTCCGCACAGGGCCGAGGGCCCGACCAAAACTTGACCAAGATTGTGGCCCTCAGCCAGGAGCCACTTCCTTTGATTCCACAGCTGACTTTCGCATCACAACTGTTGGTGATCCGACTTTCTCTTCGGAAGACTTCGCTGATTGAGAGAGATTGCACATAGAGGAAGGGCACCGCAAAAGCGTCAAAAGGTGCACAAACACTTGAGTCACTTGAGAAAGGCTGCCTCACGGACCGCATCTCTTGTGGCCTTTTGGCTGTGGCCTTGCTGCCTCGACAGGATGATTCCTAAAGGAAGGGCTCAACCTTTGAATGCCCAACCTGCTCTATCCCTGGCCCCGAATGACATACTCCCCTCTGCAGATCTGAGGGTCTGTTCGTTGCTCTTGGGGCAGGCTTGGCAGTAGAGCTTGGCAGTATATAGAGCGGATGGACTTCACTGTGAGCTGTGTACATGGCACTCATGGCACTGACGTCTGGCAATGGTGCATGGCTGGCAGGTCCAACTGCGGCACAAATCTGTCACGATCTGCACAGATCTGAACGCCAGCTTCCTCCTACGCACCCCCTTAGGAACTGTATTATCATTATATGATCTATATCTACTAGGCTGACTTAGATGACTCTGATGTCTTTAAAACTGCGAACAAAAGTAACAAAACACAGTCTTCACCAACCCCGAATCATCCACTGGCCCTGAAAACGTCTTGATCATGTCTTGACCACTTGGAACCGGCGGGACCGTGACCGGGGACGCTCAGCTCACCGCTCAGCTCACCTGGCGCATCGCTCTCACCAAAGGAGCAAAACCAAGAAAGAACAGGTGCAAGCGAGAACACTAACAATGAATAAACAACAACAACCTCACTGAAAGGTGCAGCACCTCTTGAATCAATTGATTGGGTTGGTACAAAGATCTATATAAATGCAAAGATCGTTAGCTGCTCTCCAAAACCACCAGTCAACCCGACGAGGCACCTCTGGACCCGAAGCAACTGCTGACTTGGGGAACCCAAGCCGTTTGCTGGAAACATCCCCGCACCAGCGGTCCAGGGTGGTCCAGACTCTGAGACGGGCAGTGGTGCTTCACACCGTTTTGGCCCGTACCTGCGTTCTTAGCGCCCTTGTTCCTATAGTAGTAAGGCCAGGAGCCCCTAGTAGCTTCTTGTTCCTAGTAGCGATGCCCTTTGTTCCTAGTAGCGTCCGGACGCTCCGAATAGTAAGGCCAGGAGCTAGGTTCGGGACCGTCCGAACGCTACGTTCGGTGACCCGTACCTGTTATCCGCGTAGGTGTCCGGCGTGAGGTTTCCACGGTGGTTCCTACTTGGTCATCGGAACCACTTGACACGACCGGACAGTCCGAACGAGCATCCGACGGTCGAGGTGAAGGATGAACGACAAGACAAGTGGTTTGGCATATTCGCTTACAAAGAACACATGCATATGCCAAAGGCTTCACTACCTCAGAGCAAATACAATGACAAAGAATGGTATTGGTCACACTGATGATTTCTTGGTCGATTTTTCGGACCCAACGTCGCCCAACGTCAGCTGATTGATGTGTTCATCGCCCACACTTCGGGACTCCATGCATCGTCGACACTTCGGGATTCCATGACAACGGAGAGATGCCAAGAGTCCACCTCAGAAGCCCAAAAAGTCATCAGTCTCCAAATATCTCCAAATGATCCAGAAACTTATGAGTGACTAAACTCGGTGATTTGGAGATATTGGGAGTTCCCTTAGGGCCTAGTGACCTAGTGGCATGCCCATGTATTCAGTGCAGGATCCTTTTTGTCCGAGCACATGCTCAGCACGGCAAGCAGCACGTGGTCTTTGCACGTGGAGCAGCAAGCCTCGCGCCCAGCGCTGATGATCCGGCCGTGCCGAAACTCGGTGCGTACGTGATCGTGCCCAGACCAGACGTATAGGACTGGAATAGTTATATATATCCCACGAACCTGAGCCATCCATGTAAGTAATTCCATACATGGATGGTCGTTCGGTTCGTTGACTCTGTCTTGGTACTTTGACACCTGCACGGCGTGTTTTGTAGATATGTCTTATAGGCTGAAGTATTGTTGTCGCGTAGCTTCATGTAGAAGGGCCTCCTGAACCAGTTGTGTTCCTCAACTGACCAAGTTTCTCCCAGCCCTACCCCGCAAATTTACATATTCCTTTCCTCTTCTTCTTTGCCAATTTTCCTTTTTGTCTCGTCTTCTTTTCTCTTCCTCTTCCTTTTGCTCTCTTTTGATCCCTCACCAAGGCGTTCGTCCGACACTTTCAGGTCCCCCGCAAGGTCCAAAACGAGACCCCGTTGACCTGTTGACCAACTTGTTTTTTGGGGTTTCTGAGATTTGCATCCTATTTTACCTGGTGCTGACAGACTACCCATTTGGTTTATTATTTTTAGCCCTTTTTCTTGTTCATGTCGTGTCGTGTTCTTTCATGTGAGAGAATCGGGCAACTGTGCAAAATCAGAGGAAAAGCTCGTTTCCCAACAGAGTCTTTTTGGAGACGGCCCCATCATGAGTTGGCTGGACATAAGGGTGGACGTATATGTCTGGCAAAAGGAGAGATGAAGTTGCCCCAGCTAGCAATAGACATTTTGTTCCTCATTCCTTCTCCTCTTCCTTTACCTCCTTCCTCTCCTCATTTCAAGACCTGCACACCTTTTTGCTCAGAACGGAAAGAGATCCGTGTCCCAAACCAGACATTTCGAAGTCCCACGGCGGACCGAAACAGGAGCGGATTTACTTGGATGAGCGGTTCCTGTGCGACCAAAATCTTCTTCCAAAGGATTCACCATGATTCACCGCCATAGGGAAGATCCAAATCACCCTAGGCAACTCTTTGCAGCCATCCCAATTCGGCCTTATAATGTATCTTTGTTTTCTTCCATCCGAGGACGACGGGCGAAAATGGCAAAGCACAAGCTGACGCACCTCAGGCAAGCTGAGGCAGTAAGACATCGTGTAAGCGATGCATGTGGCGCTCATCCATCTGCACGGGTAGCGTCACAGCCTTCACCTGGAGGGTTGGTCAGCTTGGACCTAGAAATGGATGAAGATGAAGGGAGCACAATGCGCTGATGGGACTGAAGAAATGGAGATGATGACGTCTTCTCCCCCAATTGAAGATGACAAAATACAACCCAAGTGGAATCAATTGGACATGGTCGTCTATAAAAATAACACCCTTTTTCGCCTTCCGTTAGACCCTCCAGATGAGAGCTTGACGAACGGTTTGCAGTCCGTCGAAAGTCCGTCGTGAAACAGTGGTTGTTCGGTACGAACCAAAGGCAAATTCATGTTACCAGTGCTTGTTTTGAGGGGGTGGAGGGAGGTCCCTCCAGAAAAACGAGAATGAAATGATGAGGATGCCTCTACGCGCCCTAATCTGCCAATGTCGAACAATTTGGCCATCTCCCGATCATTCAGACCTGAGAATGAGTTTGCCAAAGGAAGCTCCCTCTTCAGGGAATCTTGCATGCCGAGATGTCCTCAATCAGGAAACCCATCAGTAAGTAACTAGGCCCCAATATTCAAGGCACTGACCCTACATCTCTGCAGCTGAAACCACTTGCCCACAACGGATGACCTCAAACACTTCAGCACTCCGACGAAGAATCGTTCACCAGCAACCGATAGATGCCGACAGTATCTGAAAGTGTTCAACAAATACCAGTCAAATTGATTTAAACAATGCAACATTAATACATGTAATTATAGTACTTGTTTTATGGTACTTTAGGTCCATCGAAAACTGTATTTTGTCTTCAAACATGCAGCCTGGTCCATCCAAGGGGGTTAACGGTTACCTTTTGTATATTTGACCCACAAAAAAATATACAAAAAAATGGCTAGCTGATCCTATGAACGTGGACGATGCCACAAAAAAAAACACATCGAACCGCCTTCCCCTTTCGCCTCAGTTCGCCCCTCTGGCCGCAGCTGGAGCTTGGCTGCAGGGCCCAGTTTCACTGCCTGAGGCACCAGTCCGCCCGACGATGCAAACGAAACACACGGCCAATAAACACTGATCGTTGGTGTGTGTGTGTGTAGTATGACAGAATTACTTAGATCCCCACACAAAAGTGCTTGCCAAGACACATGTGTCAACACCAGGTTTGTTGATGCTGTGTCGTTTTAGTGGTCAGCGGTTTATCTTAAGGCCACCTCCCTTGGAAACCTTTGAAGGTGAACGCTTTTGCGGCAGCCAAGAAAAGTTTCCTTTTCAGGATCTATGATTTTTGCATCCAAAACCATCACCAGGCAGTGAACACAACCCTTCAACTCGTGGCGCAGCCGCACATGACCAAAGGACCGAGCCTCCCTATTTGCTTTTCCGGCCATCGCCAGTAGGTGCTTGAAAGCTGTGGCGGCATCAAAGCTGACGAACAATGCTGAACTCACCCCGACGGCCTCGTGGGTGGCCTTCAAAAACCTGGTCAGGCCGACTGAGACGAAGCCACCGTGGGTCACGCCAGCCTGGCAGGATGGAATTGGGCATGCCAAGTATCCAGTGGCAAATGAGTTGTTGTATCAATTTAATAAGTTATTCTTAAATATGCTTAAGGTCTATTCATATGTGTATTCATTCAATTGTTGAAGGTCCGATAATGACCAATATAATCCAATTGGATCCAATTGGTGTTTTCTGATTGTTCCTACATGTGGCACTGTGGCTGCAGTTTGGTACCCACCTCCTTTAGGAATAGATTGACTTATGACAACTAGGAGCTGTCAACATGTATTTCTCCCAGTTCCCAAGCGCATTGAAAACAACAACAGAAAGGAAGTGTCTACAGCCATGACTGGGGAAGGCGGTACGGGACCGACCTCACTAGGGAAGTGGCGCCACAGGATCTGAGTGACTGAAGTCATGGAGATCCTTTCAGGATCTGAGAGGATCTCATGTACTTACCAACCAAGTCCAGAATTCAAAGAGTGAATTCAATGAGTGACCTGGTTTTGCTCGGTAACAACTACATCGGTGGGCCATGAATCCGGTGCAGTGACTTCTGGCTTCTTGTCTGGCGTCCGAAGGCGATGAGGGGAGCGAAGCAGTCCCTAGACCGTCAATGGGCGGAGTAGCGGGTGACCCACCGTCCGACCAAACCGGACGAGTGGCACGGGCATATTTACATTCACTCCCCTGTAACAACAAAAAACACGCCGTACTTTTGTATGTAACCCAGGGCATCCAGGCAGTTCCCACGAGAGCTCGCTGGGAGTCCCAGTGGTTCCAGTTCGGGCAACCGACCGGTAACGAAGGAACCCTGGTTCCTTAGACGTGGTTTGCCTGGGATGCACTGGGTAAAACCCGCCCCATGGAGTACTGGGAGTTGACTCGACCTTCACCAGCAGCTTGCATCGTCCACCCGTCTGATCGGCCCGATCGGAACGTTCCGGGACCCCAAAACGCCACTCCTTCGCGCAGCGACTGGAGCGAGTCCCCACTGGCTGTTCCACCCCCTTGAGGTCCCGCGCCTCGTCTTTGACGCATTCCGTGATGCGTTCCCGCAAGCGTTGCACCTGCGCGGCTGCGGGGAGACCGAACTCGGGCGATGAAGGAAGCACCAGAGGTTCCATCTCATATCATCTCATGGTGGATTCTTGAGGGTTTCTGGTATAAAAAGCAGGGAGGCTGAGAATCGGAAGGGTGGAAACATGTGTGGAAACACCGGCTAGCAGCTAGGGAACTTCTGCTAGGCTGGTCAGTTAGCCCATGGAGGTCTCGTTGGAGTGCTTGAAACATGAATTCGATGGTTGCTTTTGGGACCCACCCCGCTCCTCACAAACACAAGCACCTGCTACAGTTTTCACAGCACAAGGCGGCAAGGCACAGGAATCGCAAATGGACATCCAATCCTATAGCTTATTGATGCTTATTGTAGTTCTGAAATCAATCACTGGTCCTTGTTTACTTTCACAGACATAGAATTGCAGCATGTGACCAGCCCTCGCACCTTTTTGGACTTGGTCCTTGTGCCGTGACCCCTCGGGTGAAAGAAGCCACCCATGACCGGGCGTGGCCAAACGGGAAGCCTGAGAGGCCCACCCAGAAGCAGCCACCCGCCACAAAGCTTCTTCAATCAACGATGGTTTCTTCCTCGCTGGACGATCCCTGCCAGCAGAACGATTCGCGTCAGAATCGATCCAGCGGGCAAAAGGTGGGAGTCACGTATACGTCACGAATCGAAAACAACATGCATGAACGAATGATGAGTGATCCCTGCCAATCATGAAGCAACTGCAACTCTTTCACACTCTTTCACAGTGGCATCGTGCTGAATCTCAAAAAATCCCAAGAGAGTTTCAAGTGAGCAGCGTTCTTGTTACTGTGCGAGTTATCATCGTCTTTTAAAGGTGCCTGCACCAAAGCCTACTAAGCCTACGGCTCCATCGTGTAAGCCTACGACACGATCCTACACACACAGCCAACCTTGCCTACGGACAAGCAAGCATTGAGCCTTTGTGGATTTTGCCGCAGGTTGGATGTGGGGGAAGCTGTGAAACACATCCAACCTGCGTTTCTAGCAAACATAGCACACCAACCTGTCAATCTAGAGACGCGGGGATTGAACATGAATTTGAACTGCGGCTGCCTGCTGAAGTCCGTCTTCGGCGTGCAGATTTGAACACAAAGTGCCGCTGCAATAACTTGTTCGTCTTCATTATGAAGTTGTTCTTACTTCTCAAGTGACATGTCTTGTGTACAGGTGGGGGAGCAGCTTTCTGAGTTGCGTGGCACCATACCACCTCATTGACGTTTCACTGTGCAACGAGTGAAGGGCCGTATGCACTCCAATCACCGCGCTCGGAAGTTCACTCCCACCGAAAGCATCAAGTTCGAGTGGGCCGCACGTGAGTGTTTGGCTTGACACAAGCATGGTGGTGGAAATCCAAGTCCGCCAAAGGAGTGTATAGCAACTCACCTGCCGAAGTCACAAGAAACGAATTCCTCATCTCTTCGATCATCCGACGCCTGCTGAAGTTCTTCGGACGGGACAACTGCAAAGGAAGGCCATACCCACATCCTAGTTATGGTCAATGTGTTTTCCTTGCCCCACAAAACAACAATATGTGTTTCTTTCTTTGTGGACTTTCGGTCTTGTCAAAGAGGAAGTTCCGTGCGGGTCTCAAGCTTCGGATGGGGCAGGAAATCTAGACGATGTTCACTCCAGTAACGGAAAGTTCTTTTTTGCTTGCTGGGAACTCTTTTGGGCCCTGCCACTACTTCTAGTTCAACCAGTTTTGCCTGCCAGTTCTACCTTTTCGGTGGATCGTACAAGTTGGTTCGTCGACAAAGCAAGTGTTCACAAAAAGGTATGGGGGTCGGGACTTTAATTGGGATTTGTTTTGTTTAATTGTGTCTTTGTTTTTTGGTGGTCTGTGTGGTTCTCAATGGGACAGGCATTACAAGTAGAGAGTTTGTCTAGAAGAGTCATCAAAAGCAAAGAAAGCAATAGAAACTCATCAAAAGAGAGATTTCAAAATAGAAGTCAAAAAAAAAACAGCACAGTTCTCAAAAGTAGCGATTGTAATGGGTCAAAATGAGAGATTTTGACTAGTAAAGTCATCAAGAGCAAATAATTTAGAAGACAATTCTTAAACATATTTCAGCAAAAAAGTTATCAAAAGTAGAGATTAAAAAGCGGGACGGGGTGCTGAAATTAAAAGAGCGGGAGGGGGTGCGGGGGAGGGCGCCAGCGCCTCCCCTGCAATGAACACAAAGTATAGTGCAGCACCTCCCCCATCAAAAGAGAGAGTTCAATATAACATTAATTAACAAAATAGTGATGTTACTAGAAAGCCTGTTGAGATTTCAAGATAAGTACAATCCGACATCGGTACAACAGCCAAAACCCACACAAAAGCCACAAGCCACAAAAGCCACACCTAAAAACCACACAGAAGCCAAAAGCGACAAAAGCCACCAAAGCCACCTAAAAAATAACGTTCTCCCTTAAAATCACCCTCAAAGTGTGGTCTCCATGTTGGGATATCCACCACGAATCAAGACTGTAACGATTCTGTATTTCATACGTTGCTATTTGGTTGTTAATCAAATAATTAGAGATATGTTTGACCAATAACTCAGGTTGTGTTGGGATGATCTTCCTTTTGTTGCAAACAGCTGTTGTTGTCAGACACAACATGTTTATACAGATGGTCACTTGGTGGCTTACTATGGCTTACTTATGTTCCATGACGCTTCAGCCGCCATTCTAGAGGGCCCATCAGCAGCATGTTGTTCACATTGCAACATCGAGCATGTGTCATATTTGCTTGAGAGCTTGGAAAAGGATGTGAATATGTGTCACATTACAAAGCATGACTGTTACACAATGGTACCCTGAAAAATTGACAAAGCATCAAACACACCATAAACCAACAGAAACACGGCATGAACTTTGCCAAAACATGTATATACATGTGTTGCCAACACAAACCAAAAAAGTCTTTGCAAACAAACCACACACAGAAGTTTACACTGCCAAAAAAGGAAGGCAGTATTGTCCATGCAAAGCATCGGCCTCTGCATCCGCTGAGGGCATCTTATTCTTTGGAAGTGTCACCATTTCATATGCCTCGTCTTCTGCTTCAATGTCGTCTATAATGTCATCTTCCTCCTGTCGGCATCAGAGATGTCGGTAGTATGTCTGCAGTGTCCCTCAAAGAATCCTATTGTCCTGTGGCTGCCAACAAACTTCTGATCAAGAGCGTGACATAAACCATCCCAGGCCTAACCGAAGTCATCTGTCACAAGGTGGCAAGGGACGAGTTTGAGATGAACACGCATATTATATACATGTATCAATATATGGTGTGTGTGTGTGTGTGTCTGAGGCCTCTGTACAAAACTAAGAACTGAGAACCAATCGACCGTGAACCCCTGAAAACCACACTTACACAATCAGATCCCTCGCTGTCACATCTCTCACAGGGCTTCAAAGGCATCAAATCATAGGAGTTCTATTATTCTATCCATCAATGATCAGTCCAACTAATTCTAGGCCAGGCAACGCCACGCTGCAAAAAAGCAATAAGAAACAACATTGACAGGTTTTCCAGGCCGATTGCTGTCCTTCATCGCATTCTGCACAATGAAGTGGTACCACGCCATCCCCACAAACAAGGAGATGCTGATTCCAACCGCACCAAGAAGTGATGACAGCACGAAAGGATTGGTGCGAAGAAATTGGTCCAATCGGGCAGAAAACCTGGACCTGTCTCGATATTCATGGCCAATGGATTCCATGGTGGTGGACTTTGGGGTCAAGATCATGTCGTAGGAAGTCTCAAATGCCTTGTCCCAACAAATGCCAACCTTGGTGGAAGCATGCCACGGTGAAGAAGAATATAAAGTTGCAACGCGTGACGTCATGCCTGCTGGTTTACTGGAAGCAACAACTACACCAACTGGGTAACTACACGTCTCTTCACCATCTGCTGCAAAATAATACAACATATCATACAATATCTGCATGAATTAAGGTTGAAACTTAGCGCCTAGCGCCCTCTTTTTGAGATGTTTGGAGACAAGGGTCAAGGGCGTTGACCAAAACACACTTTGTTTTGGACGCATACCAGCGGACGGCAAGGGACTCATTTGCGACACCAAATCTGACTCATTTGCGACACCACCACCCCCCTGTATTCCTCTCATGTACGACACCAAATCTCTCTCATTCGCGACACAGACACATACACACATATGATTGCAAGCATTAGGTTGGGTGGGACATTAGGTTGGGGTGGGGTGGGGTGGGGCATTAGGTTGGGTGGGGGGGTGGGGTGGGGTGGGGCATTAGGTTGGATGGGGTGGGGCATTAGGTTGGGTGGGGGGGGTTTAGGGATGGGGTGGGACATTAGGTTGTTGGGCTTCAGAGTTTAGAGTGGCATTTGGTGGAATTGGTGTGGAGCTGGATTGGAGCTTTATGACGCGCACTGCAGTCTGAACTTCCTCAACTGTCGACGCAGGCCCCTCATGGCTCTGAGAGAAAACCACTTCTAAAGGAGCCTTGTCAGAGTCTTTCAGAGCAGCTGGTCTTTTCACCGCTGCCTTCTTGGCCACTGCTGGCCGCTTTCGAGCCACCACTCTAGGGACGGTGCTCAAATCGACGAGAACCAAGCAAGGGCCCAGAAGCACATAGATTCTCTAAAAGAAAAGCTCTCCGCGTCACAACTGAGAAAAGCTCTCCGCGTCACATTCGAGACAAAAAAGCGCGTCACAACCGAGACCCTTTCCCCAGCGGACAGTCAATAAGATATAAAGAAACACCGGCGGTCCCTACGAAAGTTGCCCAAAGACCCTTTCCAACACTCCTCCCAACCTGCCCCAAGACTCTACCACAGCACATTCCACAATATCATGGTGTTTTCTCCTTGACCAAATCGAACCAGCAAAGGTTTGTTTTAGCATGGTGGGATGCGATTGACCAACAAAAACACAAACCGCTGCCATCCGCTGCCCAAACCTGCTTGACCCAAGCCCAAAGCAAATCACACCCCCTTGCCTCTACTCTTCCACAACGGAAAACTGCAGCAAAAACCGATTTTACGACCGATGCTTCATGGGTCTTCAGCATGATCACCATGATCCTCAACTTTCTCAACCCCTATCAGATGGTCAATAGCATGTTGAATTCACGAACAGAAGCCTCCCCGATCCTCGCTCCACACATGGTCTTTGGTCTGTAACTTCGAAGATACTTTGCACCACCTGCAAAGTACACATCAAAATGGGTGCAGTGCTTCTTTCAGTGGGACCATCGTCCATTTTCTATGGTAGAAGTCGGGCACTCTGGAAGCCACGTCGATCGCCCCCGCTCCGCCACGGCACGAGGAAGCCGAAGCCGGCGATCGAGGCGCGAAGCCCCGAGGCCAAGTCATCTGAGCCCGGCTCCGCGTGGCCGGGAGAGTTCGAGATGAGCTCCAAATCGAAAGGGAGAGCCCCATTCTGAGCCACCATGTTTCAAGGACCCGGAAGACTAGGTTCAGTTCCTCTACAGGTGTCCGGGTTTCCACTTCCATCTAGAAAAGTGAGTCAGCCAATAATTGCCGTGGCTCCGGGGTTCAGGAGGGTCTCGACAATGAATTGGTTGAAAGATTCAAGCAGAAAGGGGGATCGTCAATGCTTCTTCGGCGCATCCGGAGGGTCCCAAGTATCTCCAATCAGGATGGCCTTGGAATGTCTTGGACATCCTCAGCATGGTTCTGGACCATCTGGTTTTATAAGAACACGACCCTTCTGCAAACGACCACATGAACCCTGAAAACCACCTCTTACTGAGGTTCATTGCCAGGGTCTGAGTCTATGATGTCCATGGTCCATGTGGGGGATCACTTTAGAAACAAAGCATCACCCTGGATGCCATCTCTACCCTCCTCACCGTGCCATCGTCGTCTCGCGCTCGGTGGTCCATTCGTCGTCTCGCGCTCGGTGGGGTGGTTCGGGTTGATGTGTCCACCGTTTCTGCCTCGAAAGACCCAAGTCACATAACATGTACGAAGCATCTGACAGGAGAGAATCCCCGCCTCGGTCGGGTGTCTTCAAAAACCGTGTGTTCGGGCGCGCTAGGCGCCCCGGATGAAGAGCGGGAAAGGAAAAGCAGCCCACAGCGCGAAAAGAAACAAATATTGAAAAACACGTGGGGAGAGGAAAAGCGCCGGACTGCCCGCCAGGCCTCCAAGTGAAAACCAAAACACATCCTGTTTGATATCATTTCATGGTTGTTGTGGGTGCCCAATGTGATCTTTGAGAAGGCACTGCTGGATAAACCAAAATTGGCTTAGTTCGGCCCAAAACTATCTCCCCTTTTTCGCAACCACCAAACCCGGGACACTTCAAAAATGCCCCGGGTAACCCGGACATCGAGCAGCACAAGAGAGAGAGAGAGAGTTGCCTTTCAGATGTTAAGAAGATCACGGGTATTCAAGATGCCATGGCTTTGTACTTTCTTTCTTTCTTTCTTTGTACATTTAAGTTTTTTTGAGTTGTGAAGTTTCAGAGGTCCATCTTGGCCCGAAAAGAAGCGAGTTAAAAGAGAGAGAGAGAGAGAGCAGGTTGCGAGACAACGTCGCTCGTGGATGATCCCGTCTCCAAGATGCGGCGGACGTTTGAGTCTAAGTGGACATTGGACAACTGCACCTCCCACTCCCCGCGCGCCTGAGTCGACATCACGACATCAGGCAATGCTGTAAAGAATTTAAGGGCCGACATCGGGCCTGGGAGGCCTGAAAAAATCCAGAAGCGGAGCATGTTCTCCGGGGAACTCCCATGATCGCCTCAACGGCTCCCGGTTTAACGGGAAAAATGGAAGCTATGCAGTTGGTCCAAAAACCCAACATGCTAATGTGGAAGACGTTGCCGGTCAATCTTGATGTTCGACGTCCGAGGTTCCTTGGGCCCATCTGGGGGAACACGTGTCACCGAATGTAGATTGTTTACAGATTGTTTATTACATTTCACCCCCCTCATATGCAAAGGTTTTGCAATCCAAATGGAAGGGTATGACCTAGATGAAACCAAACCTGAGCTCCCCAACTCAACTTCTCGGTCCAAGTGGCGCAACAGGGTCGACCATGAAGCCAATCTGCGAGATGGTCTATCAGCCAAATGCCCAGAACCGACAGAAGGGACATGACCACGGCATTGAGCAGTGTAGCGCGATTGGTCGCCTGAAAAGTACGAAGCTGTGACGGGTCGCTTGGAAGAATTGGAGTATACCGCAAAGTCAAACCATCCCATTCATGATATGGAAACGTTACGCATACATCATTTACCCCGTGAAAATGACTCTCATGTAACACATACATGGAGTCTCTGGGATATATATACAGTATAAAACGCAGGCCCCATGGCGTGCCTTTTTGTATATATATCTAAGTATGCATAGATGTAGATATAGTTTATGCAAATGGTACACCCCAAGAAAGGATCCACCACATGTGTTGTTTTGTTTTATTTATTGGGGTACAATAAATATACTATATATATATATGTCTACAGGCCGTACTTAAGATAAATAATTCAGAGAATATCCAGGACCAACATTTGCAAACGTTTGCAAAACAAATCAGTGATTCAAGGTGCAAGATCTTAAAAAGGCTCTTGAATCCAGAGTCTCTCTTCTAGACCAAGTTCCTGGATTCAACAAATCTAATTTGGATCTAAACCTCTTCAACTAGAAGTGGTATACATATAATGAGGAAGTGGTA